GCAGCATATAGGGCTTTCCAGCCGTGATATCTCCGGCCTGACGTAGCTCCTCCTTCATAGCTCTCATTGCAGAGCGAGTATCCTTGGTTTCGGCAGTGATCTTCTCAAGGTCCTTCAGAGCCGCCCTCTCTTCTTGTTCGAGAAATTTACAGCGGTCGGTAGCATCCTTCAAATTTATAGCCATCTCGGCTATTACTTTCTTGCTCTGGCAGTGAGCAGCCTATTCGGCTTTTAGCTCTTCAGCCGCCTTAACGGCAGCCGCATCACTTTTCCTAGCTTGCTCCTTGGCTCGGGCAAGTTCCGCCCGAATATTCTCCACGGCAGCAGCACCATCTACATTAAGCACATATCTTATAAAGCACGAGCATCGAACTCCTCTTATCAGATGTCTGTGGAGCATACCTTGTGCCTCGTCTAGCCGCTTATTTACAAGCACGATGTCGGCATCTGCCACGTCAAGTTGCCGCTTTAGCTCGGCAGGTTCATCAGTCCGGCTAGCCACCGAACGGCTCGCCACCTTCATAAAAAGGTGACATATTACACCTGGGGTTATGATCCTCTGCGTGCCGTCACTTTTGACGACACACAGAGTCTCAGGGGCTACTATTTATACAGGGCGCATTTTATATATGCGGCTCTACCAAAAGGTACACTTTTTCACGTACCTCAAAGCCTGTCAGTAAACTCCTGGCGGCCTTGTACAATCTGCTTTCCGCGGATGAAATCCTTCCTATCACCGTGTTCATCAACATACGGTGTTCTTCTGAGATGGACGCTCGCCCGAGCAGATCCCTTAGCCCCTCCGACCGCGCACCAGAGGATGCCGGACTAGCCTGACGACCTTTTTCAGGGTCCGGACTTGGAAAAACCCTCCGGGACGACACCTCGGGGTCGCCTGCCTTGTAAGACGGTGCAGCTAGGGGAGGAGGTTCGCTCTCCATCATCTTCGGACGAAGATCCCCTGAAGATGAGCTCTGCTAAGAAGGGTTGAGATCCGAACTGCAAAGTAATATTTTGGTTATCTTCCTCAGAAATAAAACAGGGATGCCACTCATTTTGGAACCCCTCACTTTACTTACGGCTCGGAGGAGAGCTGATCCCCTTGAGGGCGCAATGCGGCCGGGGCATTCTCCGGCGCCGGATCCTCTGGCGAAGATTTCTTCCCCCGTTTCGAGGCCATCCCCTCCGGGTCTTCAGAGGCAGTCCTTTTCTTTCCCAGGTCGGGGGAATTCTCGATTCCTCCCTTCCTGACAGCCTCCTTCACGGAGGCGGTAGCTCCCTGGTTCCCCTCTTCGCCCTCCGCCGAGAGCATAATCTCCAGCATCCTGGTTAACACGGGATCCGGCACGGTCTCGGGCAGGGGGGCTGGACACCTGATAAGCTTTGCCTTTGCTATCCACTCCTGTTCAAAAGATAGCTCTGTTAAAAGGTAATTTTATGATGAAAATGTGGATGGCGTGTCCAAATACGGGGCTACTTACCTGAGCATTCGGGTGATTCCAGCTCAAACATGCGTCCTCAGACAAGTCCGGACACCTTGCTTGTGATCCGAAGAACAATTTGTACATCTCCACGGGTGTCGCGCCCATAAAATGTTGGAGGACTCGCGGTCCCTCCGGATTAAATTCCCACAGGCGGAGAGGGCGACGTTTGCAGGGTAGCATGCGGTGAATCAACATAACTTGCGCCACTACGGTCAAGTTAATATCTCTTTCTAGGAGATCTCGAATGCGGTCCTGCAGTAGGGGCACGTCTTTGGACGACCCCCAGATAAGCCCTTCATTGACCCATGACGCTCGCCGTGGTGGGGGACCCGAGCGAAAAGCAGGTGGCGCCACCCATGTGGTGCCCCTGGGGGCTGTGATGTAAAACCAGTCCCATTGCCACAAGCCGAACTCCTCTTGGAAAGAGCCCTCAGGCCATGGAGCGTCGACCATCTTGCTTATGATAGCTCCTCCGCACTCAGCGTGCCGCCCCTCGATCATCTTCGGTTCCACCTTGAAGGTTCTAAGCCACAATCCGAAGTGAGGAGTAATATGGAGGAAGGCCTCACACACGACAATGAATGATGAGATTTGGAGGATGGACTCCGGAGCTAAGTCGTGGAATTCCAACCCGTAATAAAACATAAGCCCCCTCACGAAGGGATCAATCGGGAAGCCTAGCCCCCGAAGGAAGTGAGATGTGAACACCACGCTCTCACCGGGCTGGGGAGTGGGAATGGCCTGCCCTTGAGCAGGCAGCCTATGCGAGATTTCGCTGGTTAGATACCTGGCATCTCTCAGCTTTCACACGTCTTCTTCCGTAACGGAGGAAGGCATCCACCGGCCTTGAGGGTCGGAGCCGGACATCATCGAAGGTCCGAAGCGCCTAAAACTAGAGCTTTGGGTGTTGGAACTCGAGGCGAGGGGTGGATTCGATTGGATTGAAAAGAAAGGAGTCGAGCCTTGGTCTCTTTATAAAGGAGTTGAATACCAAGAGCCTTCCCCGTAACCGTTTGGGACTCGCTTTCAATTAGGGAGTCATACCAAAGGCACGGTTGGGTTACCCACGCCCGTATTGATGAGAATCCCGGAATAATTGGACACGATCTCTGCTTTGACAAGACGTGCCAAGGAAACCGCCTCGCTAAACGCGCTGAGGTGGAACAGTAACATGATTCGAATAAAGGCTTGACCGTGGCATGATGTCATGCTGCGGAATACGTCAACATATTAGATTGGTGCAGATATTATTCTCTCTACAGTGGTATGTGGAACTTATTTTGCAGAGCCGGACACTATCCTTGTGTTCAACATCTTCTATGAAGTATTCGGAGGAGGAACCCGCCTTGCAATGCCGAAGACAATTTGCGCGCCGGACTCGTCGTCATTGAAGCCTGGTTCAGGGGCTACTGAGGGAGTCCTGGATTAGGGGGTGTCCGGATGGCCGGACTATGACCTTTGGCCGGACTCCCGGACTATGAAGATACAAGATTGAAGACTTCGTCCCGTGTCCGGATGGGACTTTCCTTGGCGTGGAAGGCAAGCTTGGCGATATGATATGAAGATTTCCTCCCATTGTAACCGACTCTATGTAACCCTAGCCCTCTCCGGTGTCTATATAAACCGGAGAGTTTTAGTCCGTAGGACGAACAACAATCATACCATAGGCTAGCTTCTAGGGTTTAGCCTCTCTGATCTCGTGGTAGATCAACTCTTGTACTACCCATATCATCAATATTAATCAAGCAGGAGTAGGGTTTTACCTCCATCGAGAGGGCCCGAACCTGGGTAAAAACATCGTGTCCCTTGTCTCCTGTTACCATCCGCCTAGACGCACAGTTCGAGACCCCCTACCCGAGATCCGCCGGTTTTGACACCGACACCCCCCTATTCTCATCTTTGTTCTGTTTTCCGATGCAATGGGATTTTCGTCGAGTAGTTGATGTGCACACTTGTGGGATCCTTCCACCCGCGCTCGTCGGTGTCTTCATGTTGTTACCACCTTAGAGCAGAAGATTGGAGAGACATGGAGAGTTGGGAGGACCTGGCGGGTGGCCGGGTCGGGAAGACAAGGTGCGGCGAGGCCAGAAGGGACATGCGGAGCTATGCATGTGGCTAGCAATGTGTAGGCACGCGGCCGGTGAGATTTTCGGATACCTCCCCTCCCCTAGCCGTAGACATCTTGAGGCGGCGCTACATATCGAGAGTGCGCGCCTAGAGGAGCATGACTTGGGGCCAGTTCTTTTGGCAGCTTAAAAAATAAGCCGCCTCCTCCCCAGCTTTTTGCATAAGCCACCTCTCTTATTCATTGGGTCTTCTGAACGAGTTATGAAATAACTAATTTAGAAGTCTCAACAAATTTTGTGGACGGCTTATTTTTTAAGCTGGGGAGAGGCAGCTTATTTTTTTAAGCCGCCCAAAAGAACTGGCCCTTGGACGTGGAGGACCTTCATGGCTCCCTCCTGTGTGCTCGAAGTTGAATAACCACGGCTCCTCGCTCGGCTACAATGTGGGCACACCCAGCGTGATGCTCACGCTTAGCCTGGCTTTGCCATTAAGAAGCTCATGCAGGAGCGCGGTGCATGCCGGCTGCTCACAATGCCGAGGCGGCTCAATAGGGCATGGCATAGCCCAGCGGCAGCGGAGCACGGCGAGGCTGCAGCAGCAAGCCTGCAACACGCAGCAACATGGAGTGGTGACGCACGTGGTGAGCAGCCGCGGGGCTGGCAGCGTTTGTGCTAGCGACACACACGATAGCGAGCAGTACCGATGTGCAGCGGGCACGATAAGTGGTAGCTCAGTCCTGGGTAGAAGCGGCGACCATTGGACGCCGGAATGCAGCTGGTGCACGAACGGGGTACACATGAGATGCTAATGGAGTTGCAACGTGGTTGCTTGGCATGCTCAAAAAGGACTCGGCTAGGGGCAGTGGACGGCGCTAGCGAGCATGGCCTTCAGCGCCCGGAGGGCTCCAATTCATCAAGCGAAACCACCCAAGTCAGTTAAAATCATGCTACGTCATCAACGAAACCACCGAAGCAGTAGAAAGGACTAAAGTTATCCGGTTTAAAAAGTCGAGGGACCGAGTTTCGAGAGAGTCGTGGGACGAAAAATATACTGAGAGAGAGAGAGAGAGAGAGAGATAAAGAGAGCAAACCCAAATGCCAGGAGATCAAAAAATGGCTAGATTGGAGACAAACGTAAAAGTTGACATCGACGTAAATATGTTTGTTGCATGTGAGATTTGAAGTTGGCCACATGGATGCCCGAAGTGTTTTTCTAGTAATGAGTATATTTTGCAGTACTGAAATATTTAAGTTTTCGCTGTCAATAAAAGAAACCTTGAAGTTTCTGATTCCGAGTACTGAAACTCAAATCTAATTTATGGGTAAAAAATAGAACTAAATATGGCACAAATTAATTAACTAGGGTAAAAATATGAAAACTTTACTAAATGGGGTAATTGCTGTCACAAACATCAAACCTGTGGGTAAAAAATAGAATCAACTAAAAACTTTAATCTGGACCTCTCAAAGCGCCAGAATAAAAGACAAATGCCTTGCTAATATACCCGAAAGCCACCTGCTGTGTCCGTGAGATTTCTTCTCCGGAATGAATCAGATCTCCATCTTGCAAGTTTGAGGTTAAGGTGGTCTGATGAGAACTGGTCCCCATCATCGACTTGCATCTCCTTAGCACCATGGCGTTCTCCACAAGGAACTTGGCGAGCTGGACCTGGAAGCAGTTAACCTCCATGGCCTTGAACTTGAGCGTCACCTTTCGAAGGCTCTTCTGCAGGCAGCTGAACGCGCAGTTGTTGTTGGTCAAGGAACCCGGGAGCTCCGAGACGCCGCCGAGCTGTACGATGTCGCGATGCACCGAGGACATGGGGCCGAGCCTATTGAACCTTTCCATGGATTGGGCGAAGGGTCCACCACCCATATTCTTGATCTTGCATTCGTATTCATAGTCCCTCTCCATGTTTAGCCTGAGCCGGAGTTCGGACATCGCGGGGCAAGAGTTGAGAAGCCTCGCCATTGCTGCTCCCGTGTGTCTGTTCATGTACTTGTAGTGTCCTTCTACTTCGAGGAGCTCCAGACTTGGGAACGTGGGGAGGACGACGCCGACGATGATATCCTCGATGCAGCGGAGGCGCAGTTTCAGAGCCCTCGTGCCAGTGAAGCTTGCCAGAATGCGCGACACGGGCTCATAGTACTGTTGCACGCGGTACTCGTGTCGAGACTCTCGAGAGACATCAAGGTCGACTCGTTCCAGAGCCGGCGTGGACGACATCAGTGAGAGCTTGACGGGGAATCCCTTGTAGCGGAAGGAGCGCAGGCTCGGCATGTCGAGCTCGATGCCGGGATTGGCCCAAGGCTCGAGCTCCTCCTTGTGGGCACTGGCCTCGAGCACGAAGGCGGTGACCGTCGGGCACCAGAGTCGGAGACGCGCCCTGAAACCGGGCCGGCAAAATATCCACCCTATGGAGTCCGGCTCCACCGCCGGCTTGTGGCTCACGTTCACCAGCACGAGGTTGGTGAGCGCCGGCGCGGCGTCGACCACGACCTGGAGATACCCCTCCGAGATGACGCAACCGCGCAGTTGCAGATCTGTCAGGCACGGGAAGAAAATGCCGGCGGACAGGGGCACCGTGGCCGTGGCCGTCGGCGGTGGATGTATGTCGCAGCGGGTGAGGTCCAGCACCCGGAGCGTGGCGGCGCACGGAAGGGGGGCCAGCCAGGGGCGATAGCGATAATCGTCCGGCCGGCAGCGGACGCGGAGCTCTTCCAGCTGGGCCGCGGCGGGGTGGGCGAGGACGACGCCGCCGACCCTGTCATGCGCCTCTTCTTTCTGCTTCTCTTTCTCGTCCATAAAGCGGTAAGGTTTGGCTCCGCTGTATGCCGATTTGTCCAGGGACAGCGTGAGGCTCTTGAGGTCCGCCGTGGCACGGCGGAGAGCGTCGAGGACCTTGACGGCGTCGGGCAAGAAGAGCGAATCGGTGTATGAGGTTCTTTGTATGTAGCCGCCATAGGCGTAGGGCTCGAGGTACTTGGTTGCACGTATGGTGGCGGCGTAGGGCTCGCTGTCCAGGCTGAGGGTGCCTGATCGGAGCCATACTGGACGCCACCGTCGCGAGAGGACGGCGGTGGATGCGCCGGTCTTGGGTGGTGTGAAGGATAGGATGCGCCGGAGCAGGTCGTCCGGGAGGACGGACAGGCGGTCGTCGGGGGCGGCGGCCATGGACGCAAGTTGGATCAGATGTGGATGTACGTGTACGTAATGTTTGGATCTGGCTAGGTTTTTGTGGAGTCGGCTTGTGTTTGGGAAACGAATGCCCCGAACAGTCCGTGCAGATTTTCAGCGATTTGGGTTCATGTTTTTTTTCAGGTCTCTACAGATTTGGGGTTTTTAAGGACCAGATATATTATAAAGATTCACCGAAAGTACAAAACAAATTAAATATAGGTGGTGTTTGTTTCTCTAGTCCTAGGACTTTTTCTAGTCCCTGAAACTTTTTGAAAAAGACTCTCAAGAAGTTGCTTCTAAGGACTTTTAGCAAAAAGTCCCAAAAAAGTCTCACCCCGTTTGGTTTGCTAGGGACTTTTTCTAGTCCCTATACCAAAAAATCCCTGGAAACAAACACCCCCATAATAAAAAAATACATCGAGCTCCATTGACCACTGAATGACCATTGCCGCCGCCCGAACGAGCCGTCGACACGCCGTTGTCGCTGCCCAAATACTAGAGCTGACATGACATTGTCGATGATAGCCGTGAATTCTTCGTGCACGTGCCCCTAAGAACTAGCGCCCTGGAGCTGCAGTCGTCGCCGTTGAATCCTTGAATCCATCTGAAAAGCTGACACCAAGTATCGCCGTTATGTACGCACAACGAGAAACACTAACCTCCCCGCCCCAAGGAGCTGGCAGAAATCTACAACGGAGCTCCGTCTAATCCATCTCAACGGACGTACTTGAGGAGGATCGAAGTCCGAAAGACTAACTTAAGGAAGGAGCATTGCCATCCGTTCAAACGCCGTCCCTACGAGGACTAAAACCCTCATATCTACTAGCGGGAGCCGAGACATCATGACTCTCCTGCCCGTCACCGGCCGCCGGAGCGGCAGGCGTTGAGTAGGAGAATCCACAGGCTCGCCGACGGAGATTGAAGAGGGGAAGGCTTTCCAAAGTCGCCTTGGGAGAGAGTAAAGAAAAGCCAGCCAGATATTTGGGTTCAATTTATGGTTATTGAATTGTGCAAACCCTGCTAAAAATTAGCAAAAATAAAAAATAAAAGACCTGCATATGCAGCGGACGTCAGATTTAAGACATGCCAAAACAAACATTATTTATGCAATTTATGTTCGCCGACGATGAAGTTTAGTTGGTGAGCAAGGCAAATCTACCTCGATTTAGTTTTTACCAGGAAGTTATTGTGCTTACAAACTTAATTTCCATCCTCTCGCACATATAAATTGCCATAAAACGTTTGATTTGTCATGTCTAAAACTCTAACATCAAATTTTTAGCCTTTCCTGAAAATAAAAGGCGGGCCAAACATACAATCTAGAATTCAGGTTCTATATATCTTACCATGTTTTCTACGTCCTTGCTCCTCAACCCACCTCCTTCGTTTTTCATTTTGCTAATTTCACTTGCTCTTTTTTGAAATCGTATTAATTGGCCCACATTTTATTGGCTTACTAAATAAAAGCAGGTTTATTTGTGAAGTCAATGGCTAATGATTGAATTGGCGACTTCAGTCCATTTGTATGCTTAATCACATTAACAATAATATTACAAGTAAATCATGATGATTATATACAAAAATGTGTGCTCTCATTGTAACACATCGTCAATTATCTATTACTTGGGTTAGTCAATTATCTATTACTAATAGATAAAATGTATGGACATATAAAATTACGATAATTTTTCTAGGTTCAATGCAATACAAAACACAAAACAGACCCTTAAGTTTTCTTTCGTTTTCTCCTTTTTTTCCTTTTGCGACCCAGTCTGTCCATGTTCTTTGGAGGTATGGGCCAAACTACGGCGCGTATGCTATCTGCCGCCTGTGGCAGTATATATAGCTGCCAATGTCGCTCGGGTATGGGTCGTGGCCCCGTAGCAACATTTTGCGGGGTAGTACCTTTTTCTCCTTTCCTATTATGTCTATTTTTATTTTACTTTTATAATTTACGTGGATTTTTTTGAAATTGCATGAATATTTAAAAACTAGAGTGAAAACTTTTAAAATTACGTGACACCATTTTAAATTGTGAACACTTTTAATCTTAAATTACACATCTTCTAGAATTACATTAACATTTTATAAATGTGCGAACGGTTTTTAAAACTATATGAACAATTTTTTAATTAAAAATAGGCGTTAAATTTTTCAAAACACAAAGCCTTTTTTATGACATGGACATTTTTTTAAATATGTATACACATTTAAAAGAAGATGTGAACACTTCTATAAAAAGGCGTAGGCATTTCCGACCAGATGGCCATCACACGTCTGGTTTGTAAATCCGTCAGAAGGCGTAGGCATTTCCCGTTTACTCGTTTGTGATTAATAAAAGCTGGAAGGTCTCTCAAAAGAAAAAAAATGATGCCCTAAACAAGAGAAGATATTTCGTTCGCCCGAGGTGGCTAGGCAGGTCCGAAATTCGAATAAATCCAAACATGCACAGTGACATGAAGTTTCTGCTCATGAGCTCATATGGTCCCCATGAACAATAAAATTGGAAATAGTAATAAAAATAAAAGTAGACTGATATTTTGTGGGAACTAACATTGACGAAATCTCAACATGTATTTTGGAATGTTGTTTCTTCATGAAAATTTGCACATATGTTGTGAATTTGTCAATATTTGTTCAAAAAAAGCAAAAAAATAAATAAAATACTATTTGTGAGGGTGCATATGAGCTAGCGAGCAGAAGGGCACTTTGGCATGCACAGGCGCTTCAGTCTTCGATTGAATTGCCGCCGACGACATCACATTGTTGCTTGTATAAGAATTTCCGTACCTCCCAGCCGCCCACGATCAAGTGATGTGAGCAGAGCACAGTGATTCGATGATGTATAAACGACAAGCCATCAATATATAGCTGGAGCAGATCGCTACTGCTGTACTAAGAGCATTTCCACTCGTTCACCCCCAGTATATAGGCTGGCGCATTTTCGCATGTTCACCCGGTGAATTTTAGACGCTAGGGCGACCAAGGCCCCAGCCACGCCCCCAGGTGCCATCCCCCAAGGCCCCAGTCACGCGTCCCATATTCAAACTTGATCGTCCCCGTTTCAAAAAAACGCCATAATCCGGCGATGAGCGCAATAGTTCGGCGATCATCACCGAGCCATAGTTCGACGATCAAATCAAAAGTTCAGCGCACAAAAAAGAAAGGACATGCAAGGAATGCATCAGACGTCGGGGTCGGTGTGACGCCCCCGATTCAATCGTACACTAATCATGCACGCAAATGTGTACGATCAAGATCAGGAACTCACGGGAAGATATCACAACACAACTCTAAAACATAAATAAGTCATACAAGCATGATAATACAAGCCAGGGGCCTCGAGGGCTCGAATACAAGTGCTTGATCATAGACGAGTCAGCGGAAGCAACAATATCTGAGTACAGACATAAGTTAAACAAGTTTGCCTTAAGAAGGCTAGCACAAACTGGGATACAGATCGAAAGAGGCGCAGGCCTCCTACCTGAGATCCTCCTAACTACTCCTGGTCGTCGTCAGCGGGTTGCACGTAGTAGTAGGCACCTCCTGTGTAGTAGGAGTCGTCGTCGACGGTGGCGTCTGGCTCCTGGGCTCCAGCATCTGGTTGCAACAACCAGGTAGAAGGGAAAGGGGAAAAGAGGGAGAAAAGCAACCGTGAGTACTCATCCAAAGTACTCGCAAGCAAGGAGCTACACTACATATGCATGGGTATATGTGTAAAGGGCCATATCGGTGGACTGAACTGCAGAATGCCAGAATAAAAGGGGGATAGCTAATCCTGTCGAAGACTGCGCTTCCGGCAGCCTCTGTCTTGCAGCATGTAGAAGAGAGTAGACTGAAGTCCTCCAAGTAGCATCTCCAAGTAGCATAGCATAGCATAATCCTACCCGGCGATCCTCCCCTCGTCGCCCTGTGGAAAAGCGATCACCGGGTTGTGTGTGGAACTTGGAAGGGTGTGTTTTATTAAGTATCCGGTTCTAGTTGTCATAAGGTCAAGGTACAACTCCAAGTCGTCCTGTTACCGAAGATCACGGCTATTCGAATAGATTAACTTCCCTGCAGGGGTGGACCACATAACCCAACACGCTCGATCTCATTTGGCCGGACACACTTTCATGGGTCATGCCCGGCCTCGGAAGATCAACACGTCGCAGCCCCACCTAGGCACAACAGAGAGGTCAGCATGCCGGTCTAAATCCTATGCGCGCAGGGCTCTGGGCCCATCGCCCATTGCACACCTGCACGTTGCGTACGCGGCCGGTGAGTAGACCTAGCAACCTCCATTACAAAGGAAGTTGCGTTAACGCAGTCCAACCCGGCGCGCGCCGCTCAGTCGCTGACGTCACGAAGGCTTCGGCTGATACCACGACGCCGGGATACCCATAACTACTCCCGCGTAGATGGTTAGTGCGTATAGACCAAATGGCCAGACTCAGATCAAATACCAAGATCTCGTTAAGCGTGTTAAGTATCCGCGAACGCCGAATAGGGCCAGGCCCACCTGTCTCCTAGGTGGTCTCAACCTGCCCTGTCGCTCCGCCACAAAGTAACAGTCGGGGGCCGTCGGGAACCCAGGCCCACCTCTACCGGGATGGAGCCACCTGCCCTTTCAGCCCCCTCATCAGAATCACTTGCGGGTACTCATCGAGCTGACCCGACTTTAGTCACCATCTGTATAGTATGTATGTATGTATAGTATAAACCCGTGATCACCTCCCGAGTGATCACGGCCCAATAGTATAGCAAGGCAGACTAACAAGAATGTAGGGCCAATGATGATAAACTAGCATCCTATACTAAGTAGTTAGGATTGCAGGTAAGGTATCAACAGATGTAGCAACAATGTCAGGCTATGCATCAGAATAGGATTAACGGAAAGCAGCAACATGCTACACTACTCTAATGCAAGCATTATAGAGAAGAGTAGGCGATATCTGGTGATCAAAGGGGGGGCTTGCCTGGTTGCTCAGACAAGGAGGGGTCGTCGGTGACGT